TCATTAACATAAAAAAACTACTTTTTGAAGAGTGAGAAGTTTTTTGAAAGTATTTAGTTGTATCATAAATCTGTTTAAATGAGTTTTGTTGTATTTTACGATAGAATTTTTGTTGAAAAGTCAACATGAAAACTACCTAATTCGCTATTGTATGCCAAATAATCTCACACGACGTATAGACTATGGGACATACCAGCACGTTTGGAGCACAAAGCATTCTTATACGTTTTGCAATCTTCATTCGTGATTCTTGACGAAATTGCTGAGAGAACTGCACAACTCTGGTCTCCATGGTTACCGGACGGATATCCACGCATCCAAAGGGAGGCGTTCAACGGGTTTCCATCGATCCAAACCCAGTCGTCTCGCGCCAAGAAACCAATATGCAAGTTGTTCGGCTTTGGCTTCATTCCTTCCAACTTGTTAGATAAGGCAGATCTTAAGCCTTCCCGCGATACCTTGGCTAGTGCACCACCTTTTCGACTGCATTCTATTTGAGCGTAATTCCATGGAAGTGCGTTATGGGTGTGAATAGAGAAACAACCGCCATGGAAATGGAAGAAATTTGGACCACATTCGAATCATAAAATGCTACTTAAAGGAAGTTTGAAATCGGAAAGATCTAGATGTACACTGTCAAATATCAGTGCTACACTAAATAATTTCACTAATTTACCAGATATTTCATTTTTTTTTTTTGGGGGGGAAGGGAGTATTGTCTCTAACGGTTGACAGTTACATTTTAAGGCCTTTGACGGCTGATGATTTCATTTTAGTGCCTAACACGGTTGACGGTTATTAGGGAAACATTTGGCATCAATGACTGAGCACGCACCCCTCCCTTAACCCACTAAATTCCAACTGATAACAAGTTCACGGGTGTACTGTTGGGTAAGATGAAGCGAATCCTGTGTTCTGATTGGCTACGCGAGCGGGCAAGATGGGCCAATCTTGCCAGCTCGGGATTGCCCGCATTGATCTCGCGCATGAAAAAATAGAATTAGAACTACGTTCGTAATTCTTGGACAATTTCGGCGATGGAAACGCGATGGAAACGCAAAACAAAGAAAACAGAAACGACTCTCGTGAGTATTGTGCAACAAACACAGTTTACTTTCTTCCCAGGCTCTCGAAGTAAACAAGTCATCCTAATTCTTATTAAAGCGAGATATTTTTGCGATATGATAAATTCTTTTATAACCAAGCTTGTTCGGTCAAGATGGCTGAATATTAATTAGCCTCGTTCTTTTTTCGCCTTTTTATGGACCCCGACTTCCTCTCGGTCCATAAAATGCAAAAAAAAAAAAAAAACTCGGCCAATATCCAGCTATCTTGACCTCACGCTTGGTCAATAACCCATATATATCATCGATCTCTAATGAGATTAATTTTTTTTTTCCTTTCATTTTTCATAATATTCAGATCCCTGATTCGGTCTTTCTCTAAAGAAGTGGTGAGTGGATGTCCTCTCGCCGTAATCAATTACTAGCTTCAAACAACAAACAACCGCCTCCCAGTTAGCTCAATGGATAGAGCGCCGGACTGTTGTGCGGTAGGTCGAGGGTTCGAGCCCCGGCCGGACCAACACTCAAGGTCTTAAAATAATTGAGAAGAATTTGTTACCTTTCTATAACATCAAGAAATGGTTAGATATTGTAGTCCTCTCGGATAGGGACGAATAAATGGAGGTCCCGTCTCTTGCAGGGTCAAGGGTAGGAGACGTTAATTTCCCACGCACGAGATTACTGTGTGATGGATGTCCTCCCCTCGGGTGGGATGGGTGGGAAGGTGAGATCAATAGACTGAAGCGGCTGCCAGAGGCGCCTGATATGCTGACGTCTGTTCTCGACCTTACACTGCACCCGTAATTCAGCCTCTGGGCTGCAAGTGGTCAGATATAAACTATATTCATATTCAT